CCTAATCTCCACACTCCACATGCAAAACCATAAACATCATAGCAGACCTTCAACTAAACCAGTTATCAGACGGGTCTGGTGTATCAGACGGGTCTGGGGGTAGATCGTAAACTAAACCAGTTATCAGACTGGTCTGGGGGTAGACCTTCAACTAAACCAGTTATCAGACGGGTCTGGTGTATCAGACGGGTCTGGGGGTAGATCGTAAACTAAACCAGTTATCAGACGGGTCTGGTGGTAGACCGTAAACTAAACCAGTTATCAGACGGGTCTGGGGTAGACCGTAAACTAAACCAGTTATCAGACGGGTCTGGGGGTAGACCGTCAACTAAACCAGTTATCAGACGGGTCTGGTGGTAGACCGTAAACTAAACCAGTTATCAGACGGGTCTGGGGTAGACCGTAAACTAAACCAGTTATCAGACGGGTCTGGGGGTAGACCGTCAACTAAACCAGTTATCAGACGGGTCTGGTGGTAGACCGTAAACTAAACCATTTATCAGACGGGTCTGGGGGTAGACCATCAACTAAACCAGTTATCAGACGGGTTTCGAGGTAGACCGTCAACTAAACCAGCAGCAAACAATCGACTCACATCCACATCCCCGTAAGAGGCAGACGACAGAGAGCCCTCGCCCAGGGGCATCTGGTAGGACCGGATATCCTGCGCAAAGCTGCCATAGCCCAACAGCTCCCGGGCGTTTATCTACAATAAATCAATGAAAATGATCAAGAATTAAAAGTGATGTTGGCTTAGCTTAGAATACAACAAATTATGATAGGAAAGAAGAAGCAAACCACGCTAGAGCACCCGCCAACCACCGACCCCCACGTTGAATTCCCTGAAAGTTCATACAGGTTGAGAGATATCTTGGCATCTTCGAGTTTGAATGCAGGATTGTATCTCTTGGATCTAAAAAATGGTGAAATGTTATGAGTTTGGCACCCCTATCAACACTATTAGGTTATTTAAGAGGCGGGACCTCCTAGTTTACCGTCCGTCTCCGATAGGACCAAGCCAGGAGGGGGGGGGGGAGTTCGTGTAAAGTGTCTTTCCCAAGGACACGACGTCGGACCGAGCTGAGGCTCGAACCCCCGAACCCGCAATCTCACGATTACGAGTCTGGTAGCCAAACCACTAGGCTACCGACGCCACACACAAATTATGATACAATGCGACTTGTCTGCAAGCTTTGAAAATGTACTTAGGCTGATCAGAAAGCAAAATTTTACACGAGAGATATAACTTCACTAGATATTATGTTGTTGTTCTTTCTTGCTTCAGATTTTGAATTTCGACAAAATATTATTTCTAGAGCTCATGCAACTGATAATATTGACGGAGAAACAGGATTTTTCTTATACTTCCGGCTCTGCCCAGTGGCGACGAGGCTCTTACAGATCTCCAGCATTATTAAAGGCTATTGTCAGAATAAGCATCAATGTCATGTGTATTGCTCTTTGGAGTATATATGATATAACTCTAGAATTTGAAAATCTTGCAGTTACATTCCTACATGAGGTTGAATGATGCGTCTGATCTGATATAAAATGTACATTTTGTTAGCTTTACTTCTCTTTCCATACTGAACTCTAATGAGAGTAATATATTATTTATATCTTTATGTATACCTGCATGTGTTCTTACGGTCCTATACAGCCAAGAAAAATTTCCCTCTGGAATAATAAAGTCTTATCTTATCTTATCTTGCCTTATCTTATCTTATCTTAATTCAAATTTTGGGCTTGGTACATATTAAACAGCTAGCCAAAAAAAAAAGACAACAAACAACAAACTATGAAAAAGAATGGTTTCCACAATGTGAAAAGATTGGAATAATAAAAGTGGAAAAATTGAGAACAAAGTTTAATGAAATGAATACTCAGACAAAAAGTTAGGGTACTATTTTCCTCAAGTGGTGTGTGTGTGTGTACTGTGTGTGTGTGTGTGTGTGTGTGTGTGTGAGTGTATGCGTGTGTGTATGTGTGTATGTATGTGTGTGTATGTGTGTGTACGTGTGTGTGTGTGTGTGCGTGTGCGTGTGCGTGTTTGTATGTGTGTG